TAACCACGTATTCAGGGATTGCAGGCTTAACGTATGCATGTAATATGTAATTCTGCATTAAAAAAATCTTGGATGAAGACTTTTTATTTGGAAATTTGTTTTTCCAAAATACCATTTTCCAGCAACACCTCGACGTCAAATATCAACACAAAACAAGTGACTTTGGATAATAGACCATAGAAGATTGATAATCGATCACAGGATGGAATGGATGCGAATTTTGACAGCGCTGCGTTGCCATATTTCGCCACCTGAGAGGTGTATAGTCACATCGTGGTTGATTGTGAATAAAAATATATTAACATGCTTGCTTAAAATGAGTGAATAAATAATACGAGTAACATAAACAATAAATAATCAAAAACAACAAGTGAACAAAAACAGAAACCAAAACAGTATTTTCTAAAACAACAATAAATAAAATATAAATATATGCATATAAAAGAGAATTTTTATACATTTTTAATTTTTTTATTTTCGTTGTGATAATACTTTTGAGCTCTCACGTGTATAATTCACATGTTAATATACTTCAAAATCAGTCAACCACGATGTGACTAAACACATTTCAGGTGGCGAAATATGGCAACGCACCCCTGTCAAAATTCGCATCCATTCCATCCTATGATCGATAATCGATCTTCTGTGGTCTATTCTCCAACTGCACCACTGCAGTATACCATATATGTTTTGTGGTCACTTGTTTTGTGTTGATATTTGACGTCGAGGTATTTACGAAAAATGGTATTTTGGAGAAGACAAATTACCGTATAAAAAGTGCTCCATCCAAGATTTTTTTGAGCAGAATTACGTTACACATTGAACCTGCAATAACCCCTAAATACGGGGTTATGTTAAGTGTACCATCACCGATGGAGCGACTGGTTACAAACTGAAATGTAAACAAACAAGTTCTCAACTGCAATTTTGCATGTATGTATATGTTTCGGACCGTTACCAATCCAAGGTGTCAAAATGTCGTTGAGAAGCTGGAAAGAAGAGTTTGAATGTGTTGAAACGCCTAACAAAAATTTGGGCGGAAAGGCTTTTTCATGTTAGGGTTTGGATTGCAAGTTTGCAAATGTTTTATAGGATAAACTATTAACACACGGTAGGTGATGTGAAGTTGGTATAATCACATATTGATAACAAAAAATTAAATAAACACGGATAAATCTTCAGCTAAAATGAAAAGAATTGGATTTTACTGCAAGCATTTTTAAGAAATTTTGGCTCAGTTTTATATAATTTCATAATATTTAATAAATGACAAGCTATCACTTAATATTTTTACAGTGTTTTGTTTTGAATATGTACTATTTTACCCATTGGGTATATTTGACGGACTGTTTGGTACCGCTACCCTATTAGTGCAAAATAGATTGTGAAATCCGCCCCAAGTGTATTTTTTCATACTATGTCCCTAAGTACACTACCACCAAATGTCATAGACGATTCCCTCCTTGGTTTAATGGAAGAATTTTAAATGATATCAGAGCTAAAGAAAGGCTATTTAGAAGGCTAAAGCAAAATCCTGTTGAAGAAGCCTGCAAGATTATAAAGCTTTGAGACTAAAGATTAAAAGAGACAGTGATACCGCTTATAAAAACTATATAAAAAAACGAAAGATGATATAAAGTGAGATCCGTCAAAGTTTTGGGCTGTTGTCACCAGCAGTATAGATCAAGGCTAGCCTAAAAATACGGTTTGGATATAAGTGACCCTCAAGACATTTTGAATAGCTTTGCTGACTATTTTCATAAATCTTTGATATACAATTCAAGAGGTAATACCGACTCAACCCAGACATTTGGATATAGCTCTGTTATTTTGACATAATTGAATGTAGATGAAGTATATCATGCCTTTATTAGACTAAAACCTACATTAACTTCCGGACCAGATGCAAAACTGCTTTTGTATTGAAAGACTGTGCTCCTGTGTTTGAAAAGCCTCTAGAAATGGCATATAACGCATCGGTAAATAATGGTATCTACCCGTCATCATGAAAAGTCTCAAAGGTCTGTTCGATTTTTAAGAATAAAGGAAACAAGTGTTATATCGACAATTACAGGAAAATCACGATCATCAACGACTTTTGAAAAGTAAATAGCATAGCTTCACGAAAAAGTGATCAACAATTACAAACTTATTCTGCACTGCAAAGTACTCGTATATATCTGAAAATATATACTCTCGTGCGATATCGTTTATAGTGACTTCTCGAAAGCCTCTGACCGGGCAGATGATGACATTCTCCTTGTCTAATTAACTAACTTTGGCATGATTGGTCAGCTCCTCTCGCTTATAAAATCCTATCTATCTGAGCAAGTCACAAACGTAATGTAATGCACAACGGCTTCAGATCTAATAGTTATTCGATACGCCTGGTGTCTCTCAGGGGTCTGACGTGGGGCCATTCTTCCATTATTTTTCATTATGTTTATAAACAGTATAGACATTCAATTATATATCCAGTTTTTCCTAGATGCTGATAATGTCAAGCTTCTTTGTCCGATTCGGCCTCTTGATGGTTGTGGAAAGTTACAATGTAACATCAACATGCTTGACAGCTGGTGTCACAAAAATAGCTTGCCATTAAATCCTACAAAGTGTGATCTGGTCAGTTATACAAAAAGCTCAAGTAATCGTATTTGGTTATAATATTGGTAGTGCGCTTATGCGAAATCAAATGTTTAGGTGTCATTTTAATCTTAGTAAGTATTGCTTAAATAGTTATATGGAGACAATTATTGCTAGTGTTACAAAAGATTAGGCTTTATGGATCGTGAGTGCAAGGCAAACAAAATGAAAACATTACCTAAATAACTTAAATAATATCTGAATTAAACACAATATCGGGAGCAGAAATCAAAAATACTTAAACAATATACGATGAATTTGTACAGTTTTTTACTGATAAGGTGAGAACTGAGCAAATAATATACAAGAAAATGTACCCAACATTCAGCTTCCAAAAAATCTTTGAATTCATTTATTTTGGAGCACTGTTATGTCCTTAAAAAATCGAAAAAGTTCTGAGTTCGATGGAATTAAAAGCGGGTATTTGAACATTATATCTAAGGACATAACAGACCAACTGCTTGCCTAGTCAACAAATGCTTTGTAACCGGTATATATACTTCAATTTAAAAAAAAGCTACATAATATAATACATATACATAAATCTAAAAAAAACATATGTTATTAATTATCGACCAATATAAATAATATCCAGTATAGCAAAAGTTGATGGAAAAGTTATATCTAGAATAGTTCGATACCTCACAAAATACAAATTTTTGAGAGAAAATCAATACAGATTTACAGAAGGGAAGTCTACATCTGACCAAATAATTAAAATTGTAAATCAAATACATCAAAATGTTGATAACAAAATTCGTTTTATTTGATTTTTTGTTGATTTAAAGAAAGTTTTCGACATAGTAAATCATAAATCACTATTAGAAACATTGGAGAAAATTGGTTCTAGAGCAAAAGCATACGCACTGATCGGAAATTACCGCCCACAATATGTCCAGATATCCAGATCATTTAGTAAGGAAATGTATGAACGATATCTTCCAAAATAATTATGTTGGCAAAATAACTAGTTTTGCAGATTATACTGCATTATTATATGAAGGCAATTAATGGTCTGATCTAAAAAATGTAATTGAGAATTACTTGGTGGTTTAATAGCAGAGAATTGAGCAATAACTATTCTAAAACACATATTTCTCTTTTGAATCTTATGATAGACATTTGCCAAATTACACAGGTATCTCCTTCAACATTAATGATCAAAAATTGCAAACTAATGGAGTGCCAAACATAAAATACCTTGGAATAGTATTAGATCCTTACTTACGTTGGAACATCCATGTCAATTATTCATGTAAGATTTGTATCGTACAACATTAGATACCTTACGAATAGAATGACAGAAAGATATCCTTGTATATTATACCATAGACTGACTAAGCCATATCTCACATATGGGATATTAGCATGGAGAGTTGCATGTTGACCACATACCTATAATTTAGATATTTTTTTAAAAATTGAAACTTTATTCCACTGACAAATTATACGCAGATGTACAAATTTATAAGTCAGCTTTATTTATTACAAAGTGTCTCACTACCAAAACACCGACCAAAAAATTAAATTACTATCATTATACAAGGTACATGATCTCGATCGTGGAGGACAAGTAGTTCCAGTAAATCCGGCATTTCTCATTCTCCACAATAAACTCAATAACCCTTGGAGCATAGGGCAGCACAGGTGTTTCACCTATAGCAAAGGAGTGCCGTAAATGGCACTAGCTGAGCACTAGCTCAGCTGTGTTGTGCCGATAGACGTAAGCAGAGCCAGCTTATACCTTACACGTTGAGAAGAGATGTATAAGCGTCTCTGGCCCCTGTCGACTTGCTCTGCAGTTGAGGTCGGGTACATCCGTACCCATAACCCTTCTACGGTATATCAATGTATTAAATACACCATCTTGACAAGCCATGATGAATATCTCAGTCTCAGACTTCAACCCACCAGACCTTAGAAATGAGAAGGTCAACTGCTTAGACCAGCCATGCTCCTCTATGTGTGTATAAGATTCCATGCATAGGCTTGTCTCTATGAAGCCTTAATAAGTAATTTGCCTCAGCAGTTTTTATGTTGCTCTTCAGTTGAGCAGGAGCCAACTCTGTACCGGACTGCTGGCATCCCCGCTTAAAGTCGGGAATGAAACTGAGCAGCTCGGCTTTTGTTTTTTTTCGCTGCTCTAAAAAGAAAAGCTTGTTTACCCACATTCGCATGCTCACGCACAAAACGGATAAGGGATTCGGTACTCCTTACAACATCACAGGTAGTGCTCAGTAAAACCCTGTCATACAGATGGACCAAACTCAATAGTCCACGCCCTCCTTGATATCTTGGAAGGTATATACGTGGAACTGAGGACTTAGGATGCAAACTTCTGTGCATGTATCTTTTCCAGGTTTTGGTGTCGAGTTGTCGCAGCTCATCCACTATCCAGTGGATGGCCCCGAAGGTGTACAATAACAAAGGGCCGCAAGCATATTTGTTTCAGCGACTTTGTTCTTACCAGACACCTCTGATGTCCAGATCTGTCTCAGTCAATGCAGATACTTGCGTCGGAAAGACTCATCGACCACGCTAACCTCCTGGATGTGGCGCTGCACCACACCAAGGTAAGTATATGTGTCTCCGACAAGTAGATGATACAGAATGCTCCTATACATGAGCTGTTTCCCCTCTTCACCATCACCGTATCGTCCTTTCTTGAGATGAACCATAGCGCATTTGTCTATTCGATACCAATAGCACGAATATACTCCTGCACTACCCTTAGCGACTGCTGTAAATCGCGCTGTCCAGAGCCATAAAGTTTAAGGTAATATAAAAGAGGTGGGTGACCTTATACCTCCGGTTGCTAGACGTGCCACAGCTGTATCCTCTCACATTTCTCAACCCAACAGACAACGGGAGCAGTGAGATTCAGGACAGCAGGGGATTCAAAAAGTCCCCTTGAAAGACCTGTCTTGTGAATGATACCATCTCTGTCCGAACTTTGGTTTTACCAGACGTGATTGTGAACCTAGCCCTCCAGAGCGGCATAAGTATTGCATCTCACTATATGATTATCTATCGCAAAGCATCCCAACAGACGCACAATGAGGCCATGAAACGCTGTGCCTAATGCCTTACGATAGACAATCCATGTCATCGAAACGTTTCGCTTGCACTGCACTGAGTCCTGTGTGACAGCGGTCAATCAACAGGTTTTCCTTACAGCCAGCTACTCATTTCTTTGACCGCCGCTACTCATATACTCTGAGCAATACCGGGCTTAAAGCTTGGAGTATACGCACGTTGAAAATTCTGGCCAGGAGCGGCCAAATTCCTAACACCTATCAAGGCACTATGGACTTCTCCTTCCCATGGTTATCGGTTGACGTAGTATATCGGCACGGGGAGTCCTTTGACAAAAGTACTCAACCTGCGTTATGGCCTAGTCTGCCTGAAAAGGCTTCGGTCGTTCAAAAACATCCCTCCAGAAGGTCTCCACGCGATCGGCAGTTGGCGGTTGCTCTATGGGTAGAGGTCGCTGTTGGAAAAAGCGAGAGGATTTCTCAGAAAACAATTTGTTTTGCTTGAAACCCCTCTCCCACGATTTCTTAGCAGTCATTAGCATCCGTATCATGTCGAGGCAATATTGCTTGATAACAGCAAATATCGCCTCATTGATTATGTGATGATTGCGCCTGAGTTCAGAGGCCATTCGGCACACACGAGACGTGAAAGGCCTTTCGGCCGCTCTATAGTCCATCACACACTGGCTGCTTTCTGCTCTTCAGTCAACAGGTGAGGTATCCAACGAGAAACTAATTTTCTGACTCCTAATTCTTGATGTAAATTTTTTTGAATTGAGGTCTTTGAGATCTTCAAGGACGCCTCAATCTCGCGATATGTCACATGTTTATCTTCAATGATGAGTTTGCGCACAGCATCGACGTTTTCCTGGGTGACTGCCGTTTTTGGTGCACCCACCCTGGGATCGTCGCTAAGACTCACCCGTCCACGTTTGAATTCTCCATACCAATGGGACATTGTCGACTGATGTGGCGCTTCGTTACCGAAAACAGACAGTAACTCAGCCAGGCATTCTTGTTGCGATAATTGTCTCTGAAAGTTGTTATAAATTATGGCGCGAAAATGTTCTCGGTTGAGTTCCATTTTTCTAATGACTTGGTGACACTTAAAAATTCACTGTAGTGAGAACACTGCACGTATTGTTGTGAAACTTTGAATTTAAGTTTACTAAAGAGTGAGGTTAACATTCAGTACTGACGTTCGATCCGCACGGCCTACTATGTTTCTATATGCAAAACTTAAAAGACATCCCTCGTACATCGTCTAGTATGCATATTTTATCTGACCTATTATGAATGACGATGTCGGGACGATTAGCTGGTATGGTACGATCAGTTATAATTGAGTGATCCCAGCGTACCGTGCATTTGCTTATATTGATTACTGGAGGCGGGTTGTGACTATTTCATGTCCGAGGCACCTCACTCTGAAGTTCTTTACACATTTTCAAATAAATATATGTAGCAACTCTATTATGCCGATGTAGATATTCAGTCGTTACTAGAACTATACACCCTGTGAGGACGTGTTGAAATTTTTCTTTTGTGTTAAACCTTCTACATCTGCTATCGGCTGCTTTGTCCAGAGTCTTGCCCTGGTGGTATCTTGTGTTTAGGGCTTGTGTGTATGGCCCTACGAGCTGGGTCTAAGAATTTGTCCGTGGCGGGAAAACTGCCATTGGTAAAAGTTCATTATGTGTCCACACTTTATGTCATCTAAGCTTTACCATCCGAACAATCTGGCTTAGATAAGTAAATATAAATCAGTACCGTCTTGAGTCTTAATTGTTGGATTCTTATATGACTGTTCCTATTGTTGAGTCGTGATTTAGGTTATGCATTATACTGAATACTATTATCCTTGTCTTTCACTGGAGGGATTAGTTGTTACTCTTGTCTTACCTTGTCACGTTCATCTATCTATGTAAAGGAGGATAGGATTTTGTCGATTGATAACTGCCTTTGTTCAGTATAATTATTGAATTACGTTGGTTTATCTGATCTTGTTAAGTCTTACGCTCTGTCCTGTAGAGTGGACAATTTGCTGGGTATGGGCAGATAGCTTGGCGAAAAACTCGATGTCTGCACATGTCAACAAGTGGAAATACGATTTGTTCTATTCTGAGTCTACTGAGTGTTATATTATTTGATTTATTCATTCCTTGATTTAATTTACCTATTTCGACTATCTTTTATCTTCGTGATTACGTATTGATCACATTTATTTGTTCGTTTACCTTATCTTACCTCTACTTTATGTTTTCTTGGTTTTGTTGATTCATCAGTTTGGACGTGTCGTAACTCATGTCCCGATCTTGATCCTGTTATTACCTAATTTTGACCTTTTATACCGATATTGACCTTTAGTATTGTTGTGTGGTTTCGATCAATTTCTTTGTTTCTGTATTTTAGGCTGATTCATTAAAGGCTGTGTTGCGTTGGGTGCTGGCGTGTGTCAGGTTCCATTTTGATGCCCCTGTGTTTTATTCTGCCACACCGTTTTCAATGTTTTTCTTTTGTTAAATTTCATTGTTTATTGATTGTATAATTTCATAAGTAATATACCTTTCTTCGGGGTTTTTCTCCGTTACTTGGTCTCCTAACGAAAATATCTTCTTCAAGGCCACTCTTAGATGTTTCATGTCAGTCGCTTTCCTCCTGAAATTGTGGTGTTAGCGCCATTTCTTTAACCTCCAGATTCTGGGATATTAGGTGCCGAACACCAATTTGTGGAGTAACACCCCTTCATACTGTACATTATGTTTAGTTGTTTTGGTTTGTGGTTTGTATGCTACCCCGTCCATTTTCTTATGGGATTTTAATCTTCAGCGGTAAGGTTTCATTCTTATACCATCGGACCACGTGCATTAATGCATGTTCTGAAGAAGTTTGTTCAATATCAGCTTCCTTTTAGTGGGAAGGCATTGCGGAGAACCACCTACACTCCGATAGCTTTGTAGCTGCTTTGCAGCTTATATTGCCGGAATCCACCCCTTACCATTGACACTTTATCCTGGTCTGCTATGGGCATTATTATTATCAGTATTATTATTATTATTTTTTTGCTCATAGTTCTCACATATGGTGGTGTACTATCTTTGAGGGGGAGTTCAACCCAACCAAGTATAGTTTTTACAGAGACAGTGCCTTTCTCACAATATGTCACGTTTGTAAGATAACGGCTTTTTGAAGTAGCATGTGAAGGCCGTTTGGAAGGTCCAAGGTCTTCAAGCTTGAGGAGACTCGTTTGGTAACATCCCCTTCCACAGAGATAACAATCTGCACTTCCCTTAGCTTCCAAATCCTCTACATTCCAATCGCCAGGTTATTATTATAATATTAACAGATTTTTCACGCTCTACCTTGTGGATGTTGTGTGTAAGAGCAATTCCAATCTCAAGTATCTGTGCATATTGATTGCTTTTGTCTATCAGGACAATATCAGGACGGATAAAGTCTACAGTTTTGTCGGTTAGAAATGGCCGATCCCAATAGAGTATTACATCTTTTGATTCCAGAACTGGCTCAGGCGTGTACTTGTAATATGGCAGAGGCGATTGTACCAAGTTAATGTTACGAACTAGCTATGAATGTATTATTTCTGCAACCTGGTTGTGTCTTCCCAAATTTATTAATAATTATTATTATTATTAGTGTTATTGTTATTATTTTTTTTTTCAGTATTTCCTCTTGCCCTATTGTGGCAGTTTTATGCGAATCCAGATCTCTTCCCGAAACCAAAACGATTCACCCTTATATCTTGCGGATAATGTGTGCAGTGCCCAGTACTGCTATTTTCTGCACTTTAGCAAATAATGGTAGTCCTGGGAGTTAAGACAAGTTGGCCTGTATCCCCGTCCTAAGGGACCCTAGAACCCCTACAATGACTGGAACTATTCGGATCTTAACCTTCCACATTCTGATTAATTCTATTTCCAGGTCTTTATATTTGTTTAACTTTTCTGCTTCCTTCAGCATTATGTTCGAACAGCAGCCGCCACATTAACTAGTAAGCAGGTTTTCGTTAAGATACGCTATGTCCAGGCGGTTCGCAGGTATGGTTCTATCAGTGATGATTGGTTCATCCCACATGATTCCAACATCCTCGTTGTTTGCTACCTACTTTACTATTTTCTGGAGTGTGCTCATAGTATTTATTGCAAACCTCTATACCAGACCATTCACTCATTCACCAGTGTAAATACATTGCTAGGTTATTGTGCCTTTTTGTGTATTCAGTAGGTAAGAGTCTAGTACATCCAGCCACGATGTGGCTTATATGCTCCTCTGCTTGATTGTACATCCTGTACTTACTGTCTACTTCATAACCAAGTATGCGTTTCTGGTGATAGCGTGTGTTGAGAGCTTGTTACTGAGCAGCAATCAAGAGGTTTCCTGTTCCGCCCTTCAAACCAGAGCTACGGAGTCATGCAGCGTTAGCGGCTTTGTCTACGGCTGGCTTACTGAGGTCTCTGTACAACTAACCGTGTAGTGGTGAATGTTATTTCGTAACATTACCATTCTGCGTTTAGAAATAC